TTACCATGAGTCAGAATTGACAGCAATTAACAACAACGTTTAAGTGAGGAAGTCCTTGGGTGGTGCAAACAATTAACACACTTGGCTGCTAACTGAAAGGTTGGAGGTTCAAGTCCACCCAGAGGCACCTTGGAAGAAAGGCCTGGTGATCTACTTCTGAAAAACCCTATGGAACACAGTTCTACTCCGACCACATGGGTTTGTCATGAGTTGGAATCGACTCGACTGGTTTTTGTGGCTATAACTGAGAAGAAAAAAACTTCACCTTCTATTTGAAAATGGCTCCATTCCTTCCAAGCTAGTCACTAATATAGCTCTTTAGATCTTAAAATCCCACACAACAGCTGCTCACAGCAATAAATTCTAAGGCATAAACTGAAAGAGTTTAAATGGAAGATTTTCCTTCTAGGTGCTCACTGAAGCACTTTATTAATAAGCAGTGGTAGCTCCCATGATGGTTTATACGAATATCGCAGCACATTTGCTCTCTGTAGGGCCTGTGGCTATGGCAGAACCGAAGAATTCATGATACAGTAGCGACAATGTGGCTTAATTTACCATCTAGGAAGGGACGTTTCACTAGGTGTAAAATCCCTTTTTAGTCAATGGAAATCTCATCTGGCTACTGCAATGGTGTTCTTCAAAAATTGGTTTTAAGCAATTAAGAGGAATGGAACTAACATTTATTGAGCGCTTAGGTATTAAGATCATTCACATACATTATTTCATCTGCAGAGAAACTTTGAAAGGTACTAATTTATTTTTTCATTTGTTGTCCCAACCAATGGTCTTCTGACCATCTATCCACCCAACTAATTCTGAATACCTCTTATCAGCCAGGCATTGTGCTGGGTACTGGGGATACCATGATTGACAAGACAGAAAACAGTCCTGGACCTCATGATTTCATAAGAGTCTAAAGAGGAGAAGAGAAACTGAATAATCACGTAGATTATGAATTAGGATTACCTTATTAAAGACAATTAGTTTGAGACCTGAAGGATGGGTAGGAGTTGGCCATGTGAAGGAGGGAATGTCATAAGCAGAGGGAACAGCATCTGTGCTTGTGGCTTTGAAGAACTGCAGAAAACAAAAGGCCATGATAGCAGGAACAGGAAGACAGAGGGGAGGAAAGAGGCAGGAGAGGTGGGTAAGGCTCATATTCTGTAGGCCTCGTCAGCCATGCCAGGACTGGGGCTTTATCTGAGAGCAAGAGGAAGCCTCTGAAGGGCTTTAGGTAGGGGAGAAGTCAAATTCACATTTTAAAAGGTAGCTCTGGCTGCAGAACATTTTCTGACTCGCTTGTTTTGGTTACACCATCAGGAGGAGGACATCATATTTGGTGAAGCAGAGGGCCAGTGAGGGCATGGGGGACCCTTCATGAGATGGACTGGCACACCAGATGCAATGACGGTCTCCAACATGCTGGTGATTGTGAGAATGATGCGGGAACATTCTGTGGTACGTAAGGTCGTCATGGGTCAGAGTCGACTTGAGGGCAGCTAACAACAACAACTGGCTTGCAGAAAGGAGAATAGAGGGAGAGAGGCCTGCAACGGCAGGGTCCAGCTAGATGTCACTGCATCAGGCCAAGTGGAAGATTATGGCGGCTTAAGTGGCAATGGAGATGGGCAGAAGTGGACGGATTCGACAAATACTTAGAAAGTAGAATTAGCAGGATTTAGGACTGATTGGATTTGGGGGCAAATGAGCTTTTCTTGTATGAGCAATTGACAGAGATAGAGAACAACAATAAACAACAAATTTAGAGGAGAGATGAGGAGTTCACTTTTATAGATGTTGAGTTTGAGGTGTCTGTGATACATCCAAGGGAAGATACTGAGAAGACAGATACATGGGTTGGGATATAGTAAAGAGGTCTGGGTTAGGATTTATATATTTAGGGTTGGTCAGCACATAGATGGTAATTGAAACTTTGGGAGTAGGCTAATCACTTAGGGAGATAATGTCAGATAAGAAAAGAGTCAGGACTGACTGAACTTTGGGAAATGCCGGCATTTAAAGCGGCATAGAGGTGCAAATGGTTAACGTCCTTGGCTTCTAACCGAAAGGTTGGAGGTTCAAGTCTACCCAAAGGCACATTGGAAGAAAGGCCTGGTGATCTACTTCTGAAACATCAGCCATTGAAAACCCTATGGTTCTACTCTGACATACACGGGGTCGCCATGAGTCAGAATGGACTTGTTGGCAACTAACAACAACAATAAGAAAGAGTTAGCAGAACAGGCTGGGAAAGAATGGACAGAGAAGTCAGGGCGAGTGTGTGTGTCAGGAAATCTGGAATATGTGGTATCCTGAAAGCCAATAGAGGGGATTATTTCAAGGAGGAAGAGGTCAATTGTGCTGAAATTGTTGAAAGGTCATATAAAAACAGGGATTTATAATAATTGGATTTAGCAATGTAGAGGCCATATAATAAGCACGGTAGCCCTGGTAGCACAGTGGTTAAGAGCTCAGCTTCTAACCAAAAGGCTGGCAGTTTGAATCCACCAGTTGTCCTTGGAAACCTTATGGGGCAGTTCTACTCTGTCCTATAAGGTCGCGATGAGTCGGAATCCACTCGACAGCAATAGGTTTTTGTTTTTTATTAGTAAGAGCACTTAGGGGAGCAGAGGCAGAAGCCTGACTAGAGTGGGATGAAGAGTGAATAAGAAGTAGAAAAGTGGAGAAAGCAAGCATGGCACACACTTTAGAATAATTTGGTTGTGAAAAGGGGCTGTAGCTGGAGGGGGGTCATAGAGTCCTTGGAGGGTTTTTTTTTAAGTTAGTTAGTTTGAAGAAGGGAGTGATGCTGATGAGCAGGATCTGATAGAGCAAGAGAGATAAAGTCCTTGCGAAGGTAGGAGAGAATGGGGAGCAGAGCATGCATGGAAGAACTGGCCTTGTGAGGAGGTAACAAGGAAAACAGGCTAGGATGGGTAGATATGCAAATAAGTTGTTGGGTCTGGTGGTGGGAACGTAAGGAAGTTCACCTTTGATGGTTCCACTTTTCTCTGCTGAGAGTAAAGGAGTCGCAGGGCGGGAAGTCCGAGGAGAGTGAAAACGTCGGAAACTATTAGGGAACATAGGAGACTATATTGACTGGAGCAGCGTTTCTCAACCTCGGCGCTACTGACATTTTGGGTCAGAAGTTTCCACCTTGTGGGGGCTAGTGCACTGTAGGATGTTTAGCAGCATCCCTGCCCTCTACCGGCTAGATGCTGGTAGCACCACCCCCTCCCTGAGTTGTGACAACCATCTCAGGCTGTGAGTTTAAGACACATGCTCTAACTCACTCTACCAGAACATCCTGAATTCGAGTTATGGACACTAGCCCAGCTAATAATAATTTAGAATTCTATTTACCACAATTCCTGTGTTATATATCTCTTTCCCTTGGGAACTTTACAAGAGGGATGCCTGTGGCTTGAGTTGATGTGGGATTCCTGGGTGCCTTATCATAATAGCATCTAACAGTATCCACAATGATCTCTAACATAATGGCAGAGCTAATGCCCTGGAAAGAAGGGAGTTTATGATTTGAATTCATACAACTCAATGCCAAAGACGAATCCAGAGTGCACCTGATTAGATATAGTTCTTCCTACTTGCTAACTTGCTACTTGCTAATTATAGACTCAAACACTTCCTATTACAGATAAATCAGCCAGCCATCGCCAAGCTATGAAACCTGTCTAGGTGACAGTCTGTGCAATACACTAGTTTCTTAATTCTGGGAAATGGCTGATATCCTCAAGATATCCCAATTATTCTGAAACAGTTCAGCTCATAATTAAATAGTTGATACATCAGCTTGATGGGAGGTAGGGTGTTCCTTATAATGAACATGACCTTGTTTGGAAATAGGGTCTTTGAAGATGTTATCAGCTAAATTAACAAGAGCTCATAATGGAGCAGAAAACCAGTTGCTTTTTTGTTGATTCTGACTCATGGCGACCCCATGTATGTCAAAGTAAAACTGTGCTCCATAGGGTTTTCAATGCTGATTTTTTGGAAGTAGGTTGCCAGGCCTTTCTTCTGAGGCTCCTCTTGGTGGACTTGAATCTCCAATCTCTTGGTTAGCAGCAGAGCACTACCCATTTCCACCACTTAGGAACTCCTATTGGAGTAGTGGAAACCCTGGTGGCGTAGCGGTAAAGAGCTACGGCTGCTAACCAAAAGGCTGGCAGTTTCAATCTACCAGGCACCCCCTGGAAACCGTATGGGGCAGTTCTACTCTGTCCTATAGGGTCGCTATGAGTTGGAATCTACTTGATGGCAATGAGTTATTGGAGTAGGGTGGGTCCTAATCCAATCTAAGTGTGTCGTTCAAAAGAAGAGAAGAGACACAGAGAAACAGACAGGAAAGACAGTCATGTGAAGACGCTTCTATAAGCCAAGGAATGCCTGGGGCTACCAGAAGCTGGGTGAGAAAAGAACTGATCTTCCTCTACAGCATTCTAAGAGAACACAGCCATGCCAACACCCAAATTCAGACTACTAGCCTCCAGAATCGTAAGACAATAAATTTCTGTTCTTTAAAGCCACCCGTTTGTGGTATTTTGTTATGGCAGCACTAGGAAACTAAGACACAAAACTCGGTAAGAAATGGAAATATTTGCTAAAGCAAGTGATCCCAATTTCAGAGAAAAATGTTCAGAGATGAAAAAATTTCTTTGGCTCTCTGGATAGGAAAGGAATCCTGGTATTCTCAAAAAATCAAAGAATTCAGAACCCTATGGGCCTTGCCTGGGTCAGATCTTGTCAGTCAATGCCATTCTAGAGTTAAAGGAGATACCAAACCCAACCCCATTGCCACTGAGTTGATTCAGACTCACAGTGGCCCTATACGACAGAGTAGAACTGCCCCATAGGGTTTCCAAGGAGCAGCTGGTGGATTTGAACTGCCAACCTTTTGGTTAACAGCGAAGCTCTTAACCATTGCGCCACCAGGGCCCCGAGCTTTGAGTATGTGTCAGAATTTCTCCTCTGCTTAATACCTGTAGAAAGTTGAGCTGGCGTAGCTGGGTTGACAGTTCCCAGGTTTGTCCACCGAGAGGCAAGCCCAGCTCTTGACACAGCCCGCTGATAGTTATCGTAAAGAGTCTTTCCATACTAAGAGGGGAAATAAAAAAGGAGAAAGTAATCCACTCATCCTGAACTCTGGCAATCATTTGTAAAAAAATATATATTTGTAAAAAAAAATATTCTATGACAACTCTTCTCATTCCCTGCTGAGTTTTTGTTAGTATAATCATTCTTTCAACAAAAAAATTCACAAATTGTTTACTCATTATTAATTGTTTATCAAATAAATTTTCAGATTTATCTCAGTCAGTGAATACTTTTACCTATACACCTATTTCTCACTTATCGACTATCTCATTATCCAACATTTCTCATTTACGACAATAGTAAAAAATCTATTACCCAACTATTTTGCATATTGATAATGTACATCTGGCAGTAATGAATGCCAAACTGTGAGGCAAGAGTAATGCTGGCTGTGATGGTTAAGGTTACACGTTAACTTGGCTGGGCCATGATTCTCAGTGGTTTGGCAGTCATGTAATGATGTAGTTTGGCAGTTATGTAATTATGTAATTTGGTAGTTATATAATGATGTGGTCATCCTCCATCTTTGCATAACGCTGATTTTCATATAAATATCTGGTCTTTGGAACCTAACCATGTTGATAAGTGAGGAGTGGGTGTATGTGAAAGGAGAGCTTTAGCCATGCAATTCTGACTATCTATATCTCTATGTAACTCTACTGTAGATAACATATTGTTTCTTAACTGCACACTAAGCTTGCAAAACTCTCCATGAGTTCTGCACTATTTATGATAACTCTCCATAAGTTACTTGAAAAGTGTCATGTGAAGGTAAACCCTTGGACCTCAGGTCACTGGAGAGGTCCGTGTTTTTACCACACCCATCTATTTTAATAACCCAACAGGGAAATAAGCAAGATAATTGTGGTTGTAGCAAAGAATGGCTCAGCTATTTCACAGGAGCACAAAGACTGGACACAAGGCAGGGAGTTGGTTAGCAAATTCAAGATAGGGTGAAGTCTAAATGCTTTCTCACCTTGGCGATCCTGACTCCTGTGATCCACTGGTTTAGAGTCCTTGCATCATCACAGCAGAGATACTTGATATACTGAGACTCCTTCTGAATTTGGGGGTGCTAGAAAGAAGTGGTATTAAAACCAATTTATAAATTCTTAGTTTCTTAGGAGTGCAGGATTAAAAAATCTTTTTTTTAAACTAACAATAAGTGTGTGTAAAAATGGCATGGTGGCGGCTTTGTCCAACCTCCTTATCTACCTTCACAAGGGGGTAGGAGAATCAAGATCAATAGCCTGAGGCTGATTCCTATGAGGTAGAGTCAGAAATACCTTCTTTCTCCAACTTGGTTACCAATTCTGACACCAGCCATCCCTCCTCCAACACTCTCTACTTCTCTGCTGGTTTGATAATTCATCACAATGGCTACACAGAACTCACAGACCACACTCACAGTTATGGGGTTTATTAGGCAAGTAACAGGTTACAGGTCAGATCAGGAAGGGCTCGGGAGAGAGTTCTTCAATCAGGACAATCTTTTCTCAGCCATGCCCACAGGCAGGCTTCTCTCTGACCCTTGGCCCTTTGGCCTCGCCTCTGCCCTGGTTGAGCGAGTGTTACAAAGCTCTTTAGTTCTGCCAGTAAGTGCCTGGGGGCACCCCACTCCACCAGGAAGCCTCCTGCCTGAAGGCACTCAGCTCTCTTGCTCCATAGGTTGGAAGCCTAGCTCCGCCAACAAGTGCCTGCAGGCAACCCATTCTGCCAGGAAGCCTCCTGCCTGAAGGCACTCAGCTGTCTTGCTCTGTCGGTGGGCACTCCCACTGTAACTGCCTTGCTTGTGCTGGTCTCCTGGTTCTGTTGCCTTTCTCTGCTGCTGCTTCTCACTGTCCTGCACCATCTCAGGTGTTATAGCTCTCTCTGTCTCCTGGGTGTAAGAGGTTCTCAGTGCAGGGATCCCCAGGCTCAAAGGACACACTCCACTCCTGGCTCTTCTTCTTGGTAGTAGTGAGGTCCCCCTGTCCGTCTCTGGGATGGCTCATTTTAAGCCCAGGAGGATGGCAAAATGGACCAATCCCCTCATTAAGGTTCCATACACCTTATTTGCATGGTCCCACCCTCACAAGGGTGTCATGCACTTTATCTGCATCATTAGCAAGCTATCCAATCCCCTTGGTGGGCTACAAACACCTCATTTGCATAGTCCCACTCAGTCATTTGGTGGGCAAGAAAGGCCACATAAAAGCGATCCATCACACTGCAGTGTGATTTATGGAGATGGTGGCAAAAATTATTGATAACATGTTTAGTATTTAAAAAAAAAAAAACCCAACCAAACAAACAAACAACCAAACCCACCACCGCTGAGTCAATTTTGACTCTTAGTAACTCTACAGAACAGGATAGAACTGCCCCACAAGGCTGTAATCTTTACGGAAGCAGACTGCCGCATCTTTCTCCTGCAGAGCAGCTGGTGGGTTTGAACCACCGTCCTTTTGGTTAGCAGCTCAGCGCTTAACCACTGTGCCACAAGGACTCGTTAGTATTATGAGGGGTATTTTTTTTAATGATTAGATTTTGAAAGGATTTAACACATCTGTTATATGACTTACCAGAAGCCTTCTTGCTATATTATCAATGATAATTTTCATTTCTGCTTCTTAAACTTTATAAAGCCTTCACATCTACCATGTCTCTAGCCTTAAAAGAAATCTGAGTTGTGTCCCCATCTGTCAGATAAGGGAATTTACTTGACATAATTAAAAGAAAAAACAAAACTCTGATTCATGGTGACCCCAGGTATGTCAGAGTAGAACTGGGCTCCCTAAAGTTTTTGATGGCTGATATTTCGGAAGTAGATTGCCAGGTCTTTCTTCCAAAGTGTCTTTGGGTGGGCTTAACCCTTCAACCAAGTGTGTTAACCATGTGCACCATCCAGGGATTCCCTGACATAATTATAATTCTTATGTCATAGAATTAATGCCTATAAGAATTGTGGTTTTTTCACTCCCAGTCAGTCCCAGGGTTATTCTGTGACCAAGAATTCAGGGTTTCCCTACAATCTTCCTTTCTTAACTACCATCTCCTACCCAAATGGGCCATTTTAACCTCTGGATTGGCCTGGAGAAGGGCTATTTCTGTCTATCCTCAAGTGGCACTAAGGAATGGCTTGGGTGCAGAACTGGGGGTTATCCAGGCCTTCTGAGAGCTTACAGTCAAAGAGGACAATGATACGCGCAGACGCGAAGGAGAAAGAGACACACTGGCCCCCAGGGCATACATAACACCTCTACCTCAGCCTCCTCTGTCTTAAAACTCATTGTCCTTATAATTATTGTTTTATGTCTCTTCTCTGATAGATTGTGCGCTCCATGAGAGGAGCCATGTCTGTCTTATACCCTGCTGAAAAGCCCTTAGCACGTGGCCTAGGGCATGGCAGGTATTCCAATGGACAGGCAATAACTGAAGGAAATAAACAAGTGCAAGATTTCCTTCTCACTCAACAAGTGTTACAGCCAGAAAGTAAGAGGCAGGTGACCAAACTTAGTTCTAAGATATATGCCATGTGAATTTTCATGGGTTATTATACTTTCTAATAAGCTTTTTCATATAGAAAAAGAATTATCAATGATGACCATCTTGAGTGTGTGTGTGTGTGTATGGTGTACTACCCTTTCTTCCTCTCTCTCCATTCCTGAGAGGAGTCAGGATCCTGCTAGGATATACATAAATGTCTGGTGGGCCTGAAAGTGAAACGAGATGCCAAGAGAGCTGGCAGCCATCCATCTACTTGTCAGTGGACAGGAAAGGGGTGAGGCTGTCAGTCCCTCTATTAAGGTACTGCACATACCTCTCCACTTCACTTTTGCTTTCAATTTAATCACTGGCCTCCAAGGAAATGGTTTATTTGCAGAGCTGATCTGAGCAAGGGGTGCTGTTCTTTTAAACTTCAGTTTAAAGCTTGGGCTTCCTGAATCTGAGAGGCTGTATCTGGACTAGTTACCCTGCCTGTTAGAGCCAGTGGTGTTGTCGTCTTTACCCAGAAAGGAATAATAAGCGGCCGTAGACTCTAAGAACCTGAGGAGTGTTTAGTAATTCTTCATTTTACAAATGAGAAAACTGAGTGGGACTCAGAGAGATTACTATACATTTTACCCCATGACCCACTAGAACCTTGGGGTCTCTTGACCTGCCACAGAGAATTTATTTATTTATAGTATGTTATTAAGCCAAAATTCTCGATGTTGATGATACCACTGAAAAATTCAGAAATGATACTATAAAAAAAAAGTCTTCCTTTTGGCCTTTTAAGCCAACTGGGGAAAGGCTACTTTGGAGTCCCTGGGTGGTGTCAGCTCGGCTGCTGACAGAAATGTGGGAGGTTTGAGTTCACCCAGAGGAGCCTCAAAAGACAGGCTTGGTGAGCTCCTTCTGAAAAATCAGCCATTGAAAACTCTATGGAGCACAGTTGTATTCTGACACACGAGGTTGCCATGAGTTGGAATCATCTTGATGACAACTGGTTTTCTAAATAGATTGCTTCTTTGATTTAAGTCCTTCAGCCCTCAGAATTTGCACCAGCATCACTTGAAAGACGGTAAGTTCCTATCTGCTTAATTACCACAGGCCCCTCTGTCTCCTAAGGGCAACGACCCAGTGGGCTCCTTGTAGTTTTCTCTTCAGACCAGCAGATGGCAGCAAACACTTTTCAATGGCAGCTGCACAGTTCATTGTCACTGAGGGTCACATCTTACTCATTAATTCTTAATGTTAGACTTTGTTTTTTGCAAACGTCATCCCAATAATCTTCTTCTTTGGAGGCCTTTAAAATTGAAAGTCTCTATCAACTCAGATAATGTGGCCCAGCAGCAAAAGACGTGTTTAATTAACTGAAAGGCAATATTGATGAAAAATACACTAAGCAGAGCACTTATTCTCTGGATCGAATGTGGCATTCCACAAACGCCTGCGACATTTCCTTCAACTATAAAATCTGCAGAGCCAAACCAAAGTCCTTGTCTTTCAGTACCAGAAAACGAGCGCTCTAACTTAAAATAGCATTCTTATTCTGATTGTCATATAAGAGGAGCAAACATTGATCTCTTCAGCATTTCAGTGTTTATAATTCTTCCTAGAAATCAGTCCTTTTATTTTCCTGAGCTATTTAGAAAGTTGATATTGTTACCTTGGGCCTGGTATGTTAAACAAAAATTTTTTTTTGTTGTTGTTTTTTGGTGCACATCATATGAGAAGCAAGCCCCCAGGAGCAGAGACTATAAATCTCATTGTACTCATTGCAATGAAATGCACAGAGGAACTGCCTGTATAGAGGTATCTACTTAAACAGTGCAGTAAACAACTGCTTAAGTATGTTATTCATCCAAACACAGTAAAATGTGGTCATCCCCTTAAATATAACGACTACTGAGCATAAGGCGGAGAAGGAACTCTTGACCTTGAATTCTGACAATGGCTCCCCTTGTGACTCTGAGGTAGATGTATCTGACCTTGGCTCATTCTTTTGCACATTAGTGGGCTGAGTCTCACTGATTTCCCTACACGACCTGCGTGCTGTGAATGTATACAGGATAATTATGCCTCAGGCGACTCTAAGGTCTCTTCCAACCCTCAGATTTTATGGGCCTAAGATGAGCTACCTAATGGGCATGAGGCTTCCTTCCGACTCCTAGGTAATGCAGTGTGTGGGGGAGAGAGGAGGAACAGCACAAATGGACCAGGGCAGATAGGTAAAGACAGGTCCAGGCTGAAGATTATAAAATGAAGAAGTTGTCACCAATGCAAATGCTGCCATGAGGATTGGGAAAGGTCACTGTTCATTGGAAACCTTACTAATAGTTTCAGTAGAGGTCATGGGAGAAGCTGCTAGTAAACAAGCTCCGCGAAGCCAGAGACCTTTGGTTGTTCACTTGTTCTCTAGTCATGCCTTGGGACCTTGCCAAGGGGCTTACTTCCTGAGCATCTTGCTGAAAAATATATTTGCAAAGGGGTTTAAGGGGAAATGCTGCTTCAGTGCCACTGGCCAGACTCTTCTGCAATCTATTTGGTTATTCCCAACCATAAAAAGGGAGAAGCTCTCTTCGGACATGCATCACAGTACACACA